AACAGCTAAGTCATAATTATGAGACATAATTATGAGACAGCTAAGTCATAATTATGAGACATAATTATGAAACAGCTAAGTCATAATTATGAGACATAATTATGAGACAGCTAAGTCATAATTATGAGACATAATTATGAGACAGCTATCTCATAATTATGAGACAGCTATCTCATAATTATGACTTAATATCTCATAATAATAAGATAGCTAAGTCATAATTTTGAGATACCTAAGCCATAATTATGAGACTCTCATAATTATGGCTTAGGTATCTCAAAATTATGACTTAGCCATCTCATAATTATGACTTAGCTATCTCATAATTATGAGATACTATCTCATTATTATGAGATACTATCTCATGAGATAGTATCTCACAATAATGAGATAGCTATCTCATTATTATGAGATACTATCTCATAATTATGACTTAGCTATCTCATTATTATGAGATAGCTAAGTCATAATTATGAGATAGCTAAGTCATAATTATGAGATACAAGTTTTATTTTTTTATCAGGGTGGCGGAAATGGGCTTCCATATATAACAGCTCTCTCTCATGGTAAAATTTATCTGAATGTTTAAAGGTAATGTGTTTTGGTGAGCCATTTACATAACTAACAAAAGCGCTGTTTGTGCATCTGTTTGCAAAATACCTCATAACCCACTGAACAGATTGGTGTCAACTCAATTCAAGATGGTTGCACAAACTAATCAACATAAAAATGGCTATAATGCAGACATGTTTACAGATACTGAGCTAAAACTGGAGAAGCTAGCGGCTGGACCTCAAACACATCATTTAGGCACCGGCAGTTTGAGATTTTATCTTCATATTTTGGCATGTAGGTAAATGGTGATTTGCATTTCTTCAAGGAAAGTTTGGCCTTGGATTAAAATTGATCGAAACAAAAAAAATAAACAACACAAGCCTATGATTACTGTAATGCTGCAGTAAAACAACCCACACTTCTATAATGGTAGCTTTGATTTGCAGCATCCTCTCCCTGATCTGCTGCCTGATCCTCTGCTTCCTCGTCAGCGGAGTCGCGTGTCGCTGCCGTCTCTTTTTCTTGCTGTGCTGCCTCTTCGGCTTCACCTCTCCATTAAAAAAAGGAAAAAAGAAAACATATATGTAAAAAATATATTATAAAACTAATCCCTTGCCATAGCAGGGTAATAACTCCAGATGATATACCTCACCATCAGATTCTGAAGAGTCGTTTCGTTTCTGTCTGCAGAATAAGGAGGTGGTGGAGGCCTGGAAGGGGAGGAACTTCAGTCGGCGGGACGGTTTTTCTTTGCTGCCCGCCTTGTCAGCCCCGGTCATCTTCTTCTTGTCCACTTTTTTCTTCAGCTTCTTGAAGAAATCAGGCATCTCGACCTCCTTGTTGTCCCACAGCCCGTGGCACTGTGGAGACAGAGGTCCCGATTGGTTCGAGGAGACACAATTAATTACGTTAGTAACTGAGAAATTTTACCTTCAGAATGGACCGGTGGAAGAAAAGAGCAAGCAGCTGAATGAGATCGAAGAGGACGTAGCCATCTTTCTTCTCCACGCCGATGATGTTGGGAAGGGCAAAGGGCCGGTCAGCGTTGATGCCTCGGTAAGCAGAGGTGGTCCAAGGAAAGAAACCAAACTGGAAAAAGTACTTCACTACAACAGTCAGCTGAGACAAAAAGAGATCATTTATTCAGTCATCAGCTGAAATACTGGCTAATTATCACAACACTGGTTCATTTTAAAAATATTGGAAACACTTTCTTTTACGGTACACTTATTACCATGTAATTACAAGGTAATAAAAAAGTAATTAAATGTAATTACTACCTGATTACCATGTAATTACGTGGTAATTAGGGTACAAAAGAAAAACTACTCTTAGTAAAACTACCTTTATTGGGTAACTACAATCAAAATACTTTTCAATAGTAACTCAACATTATATTTATAAGCAAAGAATGCAACTAAATTTTGGGGTTAGTGGTTAATTGCAATAAAATATAACTTTAAAACTGTCAAAATGACCTACTACTTATTTAGGTGTTATATAGTGAATTATTGTAATACATTACCAGGTAAGTGCTACATTACTGCAGACAATTAGTTACATAGTAAAATTGTACCCTAATTACCACGTAATTATATGGTAATAAGGCAGTAATTATATTTAATTACTTTTTATTACCTTGTAATTACATGGTAACAAGGGTACCATAAAAGAAAGTGTTACCAAAAGATTACCGCAGATAAAACAACAGCAACTTAATATCTTCTCTGACACTCAAAACATACCTCAGTGTAGATGATGGCGGTCATCCAGAAGCGTTTGGTGGGCCGCGGCACAGACAGCATGGCCCAGAGGAATATCAGGATGGGCAGGATGAGGGAGAGGAACGAAGCCGACACGATGTGGTTCAGGATGATGACAAAGTAACACAGCATCTCAGACTTGGACACCATCATGTTGTAGAGGGCAAAGAGCAGCTTCAGGGGCCTCGGCAACGTGGTGTAAAACTTATCGGACTCAGAGATCTCGTCACTCACAAACATGCTGTAGAATGAGGAGGATGGAAATGAACAGACTGTACTGATATAGAACCTTTCTATCCAAGCAGGATACATTACAACACAGTCTGTCCTCATTCACACAGAATAATTTTAAATATGGTGTAACAAAACAAACTGCACAGATAAAAGGTTTAACTAAGCTCTTATTGTGTGAGAGCTGAGTCAGTTTTAAGCATATCAAACTTGATAGTGTGCTATGATGTTTAGTATTTATAACTTTTATACATTTCAAATYATAAAATTTTATTTACGAAGTATTTATTTATTTAGTATTATATTTTTACTCCTCAAAAGAAATAAATTAGGATTTAATGCTTTCATTCAAAAATGTTCCTTGAAATCTGCTTTTTTGCTTTTGACCTCTTCATCTCCTTTCAGCTACTGTTAGGCTAATGCTATCTTTTAGATTTTGCTACATTTACCCTTAATCTATATAATTCCTATTTTTTTTACTTTGAGCAATTGTTTTGCTAAATTTAGCTTTTGAGTAGGATTTTATTAATTTTAGCTTTCAGATAAATTAGCAAATTCTGTTATTTTTATGAATTAGCTCATTTTAGCTTTTAGCTACAGTTTTGCTAATATAAGCTTTTTGCTACAAATTTACCTGTTCAATACAGTTTTAATAATTCAAGCTTTTAGCTACAGTTTTAATAATTTTAATTCTGTTCTTGTTTTACCTTAAAAAAATGTTTCAGCTTTATTAAATTCCAGAAGAGTCATTCAGCGCTCAGCATTCATTCACACAGACTCTGCAGTTTCCTCCAGTTTTAGTTTTCAGATATTCAGTGTGAGACTAACTTGTTGAGCAGCAGCTCGCTGGCTGTCAGGTTTCTTGTTTCCTGACTCAGAGGTCTGGGAGACTCTGGGAGGATCAGACTCTTCTCTCCATCGCTCTTCTGGTGATTCGGTGAGAAACACGTTGCATGTTTGGACTCTTCATCCTCTTCACTTCGCTGGAACTCTTCATCTTCTTCACTTCGCTGGAGCTCTTCATCCAGCTCTGATGCTTTAAACTCTGGATCCTCATGATGGTCGACTTTAATGGCTTCCTTTTCGTCCTGCTCAGATTTTCTCTCATCCTCTAGATCCCTGTCGACATCTTCCTCCTGGTCAACAGCTTCCTCCTGGTCAACATCCTCCTCCTGGTCAACATCCTCCTCCTGGTCAACATCCTCCTCCTGGTCAACATCCTCCTCCTGGTCAACATCTTCCTCCTGGTCAACGTCATCTTCCTGTTTACTGTCTACCTCATAATCAATGTCTTCTTTTTGAGTGGTCACATCTTCATAGCTTTGACACACAAAAAAAGATTGCATTTTATGAGAGAAGGTTCAGTCTTTTTTGATGTAAAATGCATAAAATGTAACTTTAAAAACTCATAAAGTAAGCCAAAGATTCAGAAAATTTCAGCTTGAAGTAAAAAAAAAAAATCAGTCCAGATTAAAAAGTGTAAACACAGCAAAACAGATGCTACTATTTTTCAGAATTAAAAAAAAAAGTTATAGTTTTTGATTCTGTGTCACTGGACTGTAATGAGTTTAAGTCCTCATCTCTTCACCTCTGTGGAGGGTAATCCACCTCGAAGGAGGTCAGGTCCACGTTGGCTTCTTTCAGGAGTCGTCGTCGAAGCTGGGAAGCAGCAGGCGATTCGTCTGGAGTGTCGTCCAGCTCCTCCTGCGTCGGCTGCCTGGACACCAGCAGCGTCTCGTCTGTCATGCAGCTGCAGGTGAAACAGGAGGTAGATATGAATTCAGGCTTTTAAAACAGTCTCTGTGTGAGTTTGAACTAAGGTAGAAACGAATGTGTTTCGCTTTATTTAGCAGCAGTTCACCTGGAAAAGCTGCTGCCCCAGGACATTTTGGAGGCTTGGCTCTTCAGCCTGCCGTAGACGTGTCGTGAGGTGGGGGCGTCGGGCGGGGTGAGAGGGGGAGGCAGGGTATCTAAACCCTCCTGAGACGACAGCGTATTCTGACGGGAGATCCAGGTCTCATAAAACTGCTTCACGCTCTCCTGACTCACCTCTTTACCCTGAAACATGAGAGAAAAGAAAGAAAAGCAAGAAAAGCTCAAGCAACTGAAGCTACAGTTGAGAATGAGATCATCAGAGGTAGAAGTGGCTAAAGCTGATCTTAATTTATATTCTGAAAACAAACTGATTGCACCTTTAATGTGTTTAAAACTCATTTCAAGATTCTACCAAGTGGAAATATTGAAAATATCCAGCTAATTTTAGGCGATTATCAAGGTTTTTCAACACATTTTCATTTCCACCTTTTTTTGCTGCTGGTTGAGTAACGCTCGCTCGAACCGCAGCACTTTGGAAATGTCCAGGCTGTCTTTGCAGAAGGAGTTCAGCCCGTCGGTCAGGTCGTCAAGAAGAGACTGAAGAAACACCCAGCTGAACTTGATCGTGCTGACGATGCGCTGCAGGATGTTTTCTGCAGGAACACATTAAATGAATCGGTGCAAACAGATCAGTTATGAAGGTTTCCCTGCATGCTTTAAATTTAAATTGTTCAAAGCTCCAACATATCTTCTTCCATTTGACTGTTTTCTTTTTTTTACCTCTTTCCTCCTCTCCCTCTTCCTCCACAACACTTTCTTCCAGTTCGTCCTCGCTCGAATCGGTTCTTTCAATGCCTAAAATAAAAAGAGATTCCAGTTTTTATAACTTCATCAGCTTTGATTACACTGACAGGAAGGACTCTGTTTCTCACCCTGCTGCTTCTGCAGCTCTCTTTTTGCCCGTTTCTTCTCCTGTTTCTTAAAGGTTTTCTTCTCTTTCTTCAGGTCCTTCAGAGCAGTTTTCGAGCTGGTGACCCAGGCGTTGTAGGCCAACTGAAACACCCACAAACAGTTACTCTTTGTGACGATTGTTACACATCTGTCTTTTCAAGGAAAAGTTCATAAAAGTCTAAAACAAACAAACAAACAAACAAATAAACAAACAAATCTAAATTCTTTTGCTGTTTGTCTCCAGTTTTAGTCCCCATCTAACCTGAAAAGCTGATTTCTTCTTTGGTGGTTGTTCTTCCTCTTTCTTCTCTGTAACCTCCTCTTCCTCCTCCTCACTGTCACTCTCAAACAGGTGGTAGCCACAGTTGTTTTCCACTGTGTTAAACAGCAAAGTCAAAGGGTCTCATTAAAAAAATGCTCAGTGGGAAGAAAAAACAGGAAAACCACCACCGATTGCTGAAGGTGCTCCTGTTTTCTTGTTTGAGCCAACTTTCGGAGAGTGATCATTAAATGTACACCTACAACTAATTATTATTTGGAGTCAGTTCAATTCAAGATGGCCACCACAACAAACAGACACGAGCCAACACAAAAATATTCCAATTCAGTCCATTTATATTAAGAAAAGGGGAAGTGTGTCTTTTTTTGGGGGATCATGCTCCTTAAATTTGGTGCTCTGACATTCAAATGTAGACCCACAGTTAAAACTTGAAGAGGATGAAGTTTGATAAACAAACAGCCTCTGTAGTCGAGGCCAGCTTTTTACAGTCAAGTCTTTTAGCCAACGTCAAGCCTTTTTTAAATCCTCCTGACCTGGAAAAGACCGTTCATGTTTTTATTAGCTTGAGGCTAAATTAATTCAATGATCTTTATGTTGGAATCTCCCAGTCCTCCTTTAGTTGTCTTCAACACCGTGTCCCGACACCTCCACACATGAGGACATCACCTCTGTTTTGCTCTCTCTTCACTGGATGGTTTTAGGTTTGATTTTAAGCTCTTGCTTACTTTTGAAGCTCCTAATAGCCCAACCTTATTAGCTGATCTAGTAGCTTTCCATAAGCATGAAAGGATCAACTAATGCATTCTTACTACATGTTCCAAATCCAAACGTTGATGTGACTGGGCCTTTCCAGGCTTTGGCCTCAGCTTCCTCTAGATTTGCGCTCCATCGCTGACCTGGGTCTTTTTAAATCCAACCTTAAAACCTTAATTTCTGCATTTTTCCCTCATTTTGTTCACCTTTTATTTGTATTGTTCCTAATGTCTGTTTTAATGTTCGTACTGTAAGACACTTTTTTTTGGTAGTTGTGAAAGGCTCTATAAATAAATGTTGATTGACTGCAACATTGTTGGCATGGCACTTACCTTGTCTGCCATGTTAGCAAAATATCTCAACTGGACCAATCTAAGTGAAATGAAATGTTGCTGCTCACCTCCGGGCTGAGAAACCCAAGGCTTCCACCACTTTCCTGCATCTCTCTTTGCCTTTTCATCATCATCTTTATCATCTGAAAAACAACAGTTTGTTGATGTTTTGTTGATAACCTCTTTTTCTGAGTGAATATACTAAATAATTAGCAGAAACAAAACCTAACACGTGGTGTAATGCACAGTTTTTTAAAACTCATTTTTCACTGGCTAACACTAGAGGCGTAAATCCTGAGTTACCCAGTGGTGCCCGATCCGCAGGAAGTTCTGCTTTGTCTGAAGCCGTCTGAGGACTCCTCTGCTTAGATTTTATCTTCTCCATCCTACATGAAGAGAATGGAAAGGTGGATTAAATACTGTTTACTCTTCTCGGAGTGGATAAAAGGGAGCTAGAAAGATGGAAAATGTGCTGATCGCCACTACAAACTGGTTCCATTAATTGATTAAATCACTGTTTTACTGTATGGTCTTACTGTCTCTTCAGCGTCTCGACTGATTTCTTCTCCAACTCCAGTCTGGCTGCTATCTGCTTCTTCACTTTGGCCTCAAACAGCTCAGCCCCCCTTAGAGAGAGCGAGAGGCAGAGAAATGAATATTAAGTGGAGTAGCGTTTATGGGAACTAATTTTATGTTTAGTCAACCAATTAGCTTCTGCTAAATTAGGTTTTAACAACTTTAAGTCAGCTAATCGTTAACTAATAAACAACGGTTTGTGCCCTGCCAGTCTTCAGCTCCAAGGAGAAGACGACATGTCGTTTTAGCAGTTAGCAATTAGCTGTTAGTGTTAGCTTCTGCTAATTTTCACTTGTTTAGCGTTAGCAGAGCTATATTTTTTATTTAGCAGATTATGAGTTAGTGAAGATAACTTTTTGGTTAGCTGTACCCAACACTGGCTGTGTGAATCATTCAGCACCTTCCCATTTTTTTCCAGTTTAGTTTTGTTTAAATTCTATAAGATTTTGTGCAATTTAATTATTTATATATACTTTGCTCTGTTTTAGATATTCATATATTAAAACTATCAAAATTAGAACCAAATTTTAACTTAAAAAAGTCAATATTGGAAAACCACACTAATGCCTTGATTAAAGAAAATTACATTTGTAACTGACGGTAAATTTTTTAAATGGAAATTTGCATTGTGTGGGTTGTTCATAAATGTTTTTTTTTCTTTGATTTAATAATACTTGTATTTTCAATGAGGTTTTTTTTGTACCTCATGGGATGCCATAGCCAAGATGGGCTGGCCTTATAAAAGCTGGCAGTAATTAGTTCTAACAATGAATGGCAGGAAAGCAACTGACAGCAGGACTTGAAATGTTTGCTGTGCTAATGAAACAAAGATCTTATGCTTTGCATTCCCCTGGTGAAAGCAGCGAGGTACGTTTTGTTTATTTCACTTGTATTATGAGCCCATGTTCTTATTTTGATGTTTGTATACATGTTGTTTTTAGTTTTCACGGTGATCATGATGGTGATGAAGGTGATCTTGGAGCACCAGATGAAAAATAAAAAACCTTAAAATCACCCACCAAGGCTGCGCTGAACTTTGTCAAGAACTGGGGGGCTGCTACAACGTTTTATATTTTTACAGAGTTTCACTGTACTGAACTATAACTACTCTAAGATTAGCGCATTCAGCAAATTGTTTCAAGCTATCTGACAGCATAAGGTTTTAAATGTTGCTCTAAAAGCTTGTAAAACAGACCTCGAGGCTAAAATCTTTGAGGACTTGAGGTCAGACACCACGTAGAGGAAATAGTAGCTCAGGAAGACCCTCCTTTGTGCCAGCAGGACGGTGAAACAGATCGCATCCCAGACGATGCCGGCTTCACCTTCCGGCAGCTCACACTCATCGACCGGCGCCGCTGAGAGGCAAAAATCAAATCAAACACACACACACATACAAAAAAAAAAACAGATTATTGGATTTACTTAACTAAATTAGGTCAACAATTTCCACTTAACTAAGCTGAGTAAGTCCAACGTAACTTTGACAATTTATTTCAAAGTAATTGTGCAAGTTGCTTTATATTTACTCAACTTAGTTAGTTTAGTGGAAATTGTTGACATAACTACATTAAGTAAATCCAACAATCTGTTTTTTGAGTGTATATTGCAACAATAAAATGACCCTTCACTCCGGTGAAAACTTCTCTCAGTTTGCCATGGTGGATTCCAAATAATTTAGCAAACTCTTAAAAAATAGTTTTTAAATGTATTCAGTGTTCGTAAAGTCTTCCAAAGATGCGTTTCATGACTAATAAAGCTATGATATAAATAGTAAAACAAAGTATGTTTATTAATTCATGCAAGATAAATTACACAAACACCCGGTATTTTTAAGACATGAAACAAATAAGCTGAACTGTTGCGGACAACTTACGGACATCGTAGCCTTTGATGGTGCAGAACATGCTAAAGGCCTGAATCAGCCAGCAGCTGTTCTTCAACAGGCTGTCCAGGTAACCGCAAGAACCAAGCTGATGGAGAGACCAGGATTTACTGAAGGTGAAGCCGAAAAACAAATCCGACAACTCATCCTCCTTGCTGGTCGCTCACTTACGGACAGGAGGTTCTTCATGGCGATCACAAAGCAGGTGTAGCCGATGAGCCAGTCCCACAGGCGCAGGATGTACCTGACCGGCTGCATCAGCACGTTGCCACCAAACAGCATGAAGTAGAAACAGGCCACCAGGTATCCCAGGCAGAAGATGTTGATCCGCGTGGTGCCAGTGATGAAGATGAGGCAGAGCACCAGCCAGAAGAAGTAGCTGAAAACAAACACCTTCACCATGTCCAGGTAGCTCCTGAGGACGGAATGAAGAGGAAAACCTTCACTTTGAGCATGTGGATTGGTAAATCTTGTTTCATCGATGATAAATGGGTATTCTGTTGACAGCAGATAGCAAAAACCTGATAAACCTGATAAACAAATGCTTTTAAAAATAGAAGTCATCTGCTAACGCTTACTCAGCAGTTTCAGTTTGCTTGAATGGCTTTCAGGAGTTTGACAGTGTGCATAAATTAATAATTGAACTTAAATCTTTATCTTAAATGACCACACATAGCAGGATGGACTCCTGATCAACTAAGTGCTCCAATTAGGTTTAGGCTATTTTTGCTACAATCTGAGTAATGAATCTTACTCAGAGATCTGGGTTCAACGTTTAATGCCCTGTTTCACATCCGTAGCTTTTGTTTTCTTAAGAAGTAATATTGTTGGCTGATGACAGGCTTTTTATTTAATGCCTTAAAAGAAGTCGAAAACAAAACAAAAAACAGAGTATTTGACCTGCAGTGAAGAAAGTTGTCGACAGGTATGAACTGGTTGAAGGAACACGGATCCAAGCTGCGGCTGATCTCAACGTTGTCTCCAGCCAGCAGCCGCACCGCCGCTCGGTTCTCCTCCACGAACACCTGCCACTGCAGAGACGAGCAGATCAGCAGGAGGTGGTCGTCTGCAGGGAGACAAGAAAAAACGTGATAAACACAAAGAAGTTTGTAAGGATCTGTGGTTTTAGGTTATTTTTTGGTATTCTCGTGTTTATCATCATCAGGTTTATTTCTTTCTGTGTTTTGAGGTCCTTGTGTTTAGTTCTGTTCCTTTGTGTTTTTCTCTGTGCTAGTTTTAATTTTCCTCAGTTAATTACTGCTTCTCTGTCCTGTCGCACCCATCTACACCTGCTCCCTGTTCCCATTAAGCCGCCTGTCTTCTACCACCTCATCAGTCTTTTTAGTTACTTTTTAGGACATATTTTTCTGCCATGCCAGCATCTTAATTTTGCGTTAGTTTTTTTATGTTTGCTAAATCTTTTAGTCTTTCATCTGTTGGTCAGCATCCATCTCTCTGTCAAAGGTATACTCACAGAAGATGAACATTGGATTGGGTCTCATGGCAAAGTCGGGAAGGTAAAACCACTTGATAACGTTAGACGTTAAAGGATGGACAGCAGTTCTCCAGGGATAATCTGCCAAAAAAAGGTCCTTTTCACTGTTGGAAATCAGTATCTTTTATGTTAGAAAACATCATGTCTCTTTTCCAGCCTTCTATTACACATTTGATAAATAAATGAAAACATGAAGGTAATAATTAAAACAATTACTGAAAGCAGCTTTTTTATCTAGATTTCTCTTTTTCTTCTGCTTTATGGATGTTTACACACCACTCATCACTTATTAGAAACCAAACTTAACTACAGAAATCGAAATGTCTGCAAAAATATGAACGCTGAGTGCTGAATGACTGCTAAATTCTGACAAAGATGCTAAAAATTGACTTATTAAAGCTAATACAAGCCAAACTCTAGGTAAAAATTAAAAACCTAAATCCTGGCTAAAACCTTAAATTAGCTAAATAACAGCTAAAATTATCAACAAGTTAGCTAAAAGTTGCAAAGGTTTAGCTAAATGCAGCAAAAGGCTAGCTGAAAGCTAAAAGCAGCAGAGAAAGATAAAAACAAATTTCAGTATATTTCTATGGAGATTTTTTTTACATATAAATTATTTTGTAGAGTATAAAAATGACAGAAAACAAAAGACAGCATATATTTCCTTAATATGTATTGAAATTTGGATAGAAAAAATTAGCACAAAGTATGCAGAATTAGTTAGACAGTAGTTAGTAAAAACAAACAGAACAGTGTGACCGCTGAATCAGCATTAACTATATAATGATAAAAAAGTATTCTGTAATTCCTACCAACACAGAGAGCAGGAGGGATGCCGATGCACAGCAGGTACTGAAACACCATCAGCCCGGCTGTAAAGCAACAATATTTAGGCCACACCTCTCCGATGGCCTTCCTGCGTCGCCGAAACACGACAGCCATCAAGGCACAGGAGTGGAGCACCGCGTAGAAATCCATCCTCTGACCAATGACATTCACCGCCACGATTAAACTGATCTGAGAGGAAATGCGAACAAGTTACATACAGATATAAACACTGCAGCTTTAGAGAAAAGCAAAACCAAACACCTCAAGTCCAAATTTGTAGAAACCGAAGTTGATGAAGTATTTGACGCAGGGCCGGACGCCGTGGTCAAGGTGCTGCCTTGTGATGCCGTGGAAGATGATGCTGAAGGGGGGAGGCTTCAGGTCGTTACGGAGACGGAAGTAGAGCTGGTGGCGATGGACGGTTGCCTCGAAGACAAGCAACCCTAGCACCATCAGATGGTTCTGCAGCAGGAAAAGAAATCTGAACTGTAGCTAAATCCACTGAAAAACACCAAGAAACTTCAGGCATGCTTGTGAAACAATAATTTAGCCATTTAGTAAACTAATTATTCAGCTTTTTAGCTGTACTTCACTTTTTAAAGGGGCAATATCGTGTAAAATCAACTATTTTGAGCTTTATATCCTGTTATAATGTTATCCTCTCATCAAAAACATGCCCAGAGTCTTGCTTTGACTCATTCATGCATGTTTGAGAAATCCTGTAGTGTCCTGAGGCAGCCAGGCAGGGGAGCAAAAACCACCGGTTGGGTCTAGAACCGCCTTTTGGGACCAGCTCCTCCTCTGGGCTGTGTCTCAGAATCGAGCTTCCTCATCACAGAGCATGTGGCTGCCCGATCCGTACCGGAAACACGATCCGTACTGTCCGGGCAGCATTGTTTTTAGCATGTAGCATTTGGCTAAACTGATGACAGATTTCATTTGGTTTCAGTCTTTCAACACCTGCAGTGTTTCATAGAAAAGACAACGTCTGCAACAGCTGTGGATTTTTATTACAGAAAACAAATAAAATGAAGATGAGTTATAACATGATTGTCTACAAAATAGTTTGCAAGTTTTTATAAATAAATATGTAAATTTATATTTTATTAATCAAAATGTAAACAATATTAAAACTGTTTTCAAAATATAATGTAATACACCTTTATAATTAAGTATAGAAATAATTATTGTCAGTATTTTTTTCCTAAATCGAGCACAATTTAGAAGTCTATCATTTAGCGCATGTGCAAATGAGCTGATAGTACGGATCATGCTTCCGGGACGGATCGGGCAGCCGCAGAGCACACACCCACCCGGCCCCGTGCTGAAATGGGCGGGACAGAAGCGGAAGGAGGTTCTTAAAGAGACAGAGGCCAATTTCAAGGCATTTAGAAACAGATATGATGAGAAGTCAAGTTTATTTTCTATTTAAACATAAAAACAGCATTTTAATAACAACTGAAAGTCACATAGTTTCTGTATTATGGTATAGAATTTAACTATATGCCTGAGAAACACATAATATTGCCCCTTTAAAGGCTTTTTTTTAATGAATCTTGGTGTGTTGTTCATTAAAAACCACCGTCAGCAACTGCAAAATTTTAACATTCTTTAACAGCAAATCATTGATAAGATTGTCTGAAATGTATAAAAAATCTCAGTCAATGTAAACAGCTTTGGTGAAACTGAGGCTTCCTTGTACCCTTAGGCAGGGGAGGATTCTGCCCTCGCACTTCCTCAGCGCTCCACACCAGTAGACGGGGTCAACAGGTTCAATGTAGAGAACAGACCTCCGGAGCAGTTCCACCATGTTTCCCCTGAGTTCTGCTGCATCGTCCAGTCCGGAGCTGTTGGAGGGCAGTAAGTCCTGAAATACCACAACACACAAGCACAAAACTGAAATATGTTGTCTGGACTCCATAAATAGGTTTATAAACTTATTTAAATAACCCAAAGCCTTTGTGCTTTAATTCATTTGAACTTATTAATATCATCAGCCTGTGGTCTACGAGTGCTACAAGGAAACTTATTTTAAAAACACGCCAGCCTGCAGAAACAGCACGTGAATGCAGCAGCTGAACTCACAGCAGTGCAGTTGGAGGAGTAATCCAAGGGTTTGATCACTTTGAGCTGGTAAAACATCTTGCACACCACCATGACGCAGGCCCACACAGCTGAGACGCTGGAGACCAAAGGTCGTAATCGTGGGAACGGGAGCGCAAACACCCACAGCACCAGAAAAAGGAAGTTCATCAGCGAAACCTGTGAAAAATGGAGGTTAATCATACAGTTTCTTCTATAAAATGTCCTCATATGACTATCATTTCTTATTGAATAGGTTTGTCTGTGGACAGAGGAGGGAATGTCCCACCTCTTGCAGTGACACCCAGATGATGCCAGAAGACACTATTTTGAGGCTGTGGAGCTCCATCAGTCTCCAGCTCAGCTCCTGCAGCCTGCGGAGTCCGGAGATGGCCTGAATGAGGAGCAGACTCGCCCGGTCCACAATCATGCCCCACTTTTCCTCACGACTGATTGGGACAGCTTCTGTGAACACATTTATCAGACAGGATGTTACAGGAAAACACTGCAGAAGCTGTTTCAGAGGTTAGATGTGTAACGACCGCATGAAAGCATCAAATACATTCTGCCTATCAATGTGTTACCTCAAATAATTTTCTTTTTCTTATTCCTAGATGGCTTAAAATAAAAGGAAACAGAGTTGTTACCATCTTCTGTTGCCTCCTCCTGCTCCTCGGCTTCTTTCAGGGATGACGTTTGTTGTTCGATGCAGTCCAGAGTCTCCTGACTTTTGCTGTTTCCCACCTGCTCCTTCACAAGCCTGCCAACCCGAAATGACTTTCTTTCTTATTCTGATATATTTGAGAAAACTGCAGCTAATTCATGAAAAACAGGCATCAAAGCAAAAGCCTTACCTTTGCTGTAACTTTGCAATATTTTCTTTAATGCTGGGAATGAAACAGAGTTTTTTCATAAGCTGCACAACTATGATGGGTGGTCAAAAAAAGTCAGAACCTGCTAATCGAATCATATTATCTAAGCAATAATGTTTCATTTTTTTATCACTCCTGTTAAAAATATTTTAAAAAACCCTAACAGATGATTTTCTGATCACTAACTTATAATATTTAGTGAAGAGGTAGCAGCAATTTAATTCCTTGAGCACAAAAGTTTATGCTGGAGGGACACAGTTCATTAAAAACTGAAAGGAAATAAGAAATGGTTCAAGCTAATTACATCTAGAGAAAAATTGTGAGTTCTGATTAAAATATTTTTTTGCAAAGCACCTGAAATGTGAAAACAAGATGTTTGATGAGAAAATAAACGAGGCTTACATGTCCGCTATCAGATTTATTGAACTCTTCAGCTCTTCTTCTCTGAAAGTAAAGACAAAAAGACTAAGTAAGCAAACACATACAGAGCTAATCAACTTGAAACAATAAATGTTATACGCTGCTTTACAATTCAAAAATGCACTTTTTTCAGAGAAATACTGGTTTCTAATAAAAAAAAGTACTTTAACTATAGTATTCGTTATTCTGCAGCTTTGTTGGGTTAGAAATCCCATTTGGCTAATAGTTTTTGCAGGACAGAATCATCTGAATTTGTTAAAATACTAAGATATTTAAGGAAAGATTATAAAAATGACATATTTAAAGGGTAAAGTAAAGATGTAGGTCTCCTCAGGCCTTCCCAAAAAAACCATTAACCATTATTGGGCTGTTTTTACTTTTTAAAATACAACGCTGTGTGTCACATCCACGGCTAACCTGGAAATCTCCCTGACAGGTACGTTATCCAGGTTTGTTAGAGTCAGGAAGTCAGAGTTGAAGTAATGAAGCTGGAGGATACAGGCCAACAGGAACGCAGCAGGAAGCAGAATACGTGCAAACAGCTCCACGGTGCCGTACCTTTCCAAACCCAGGTCACGAAGCCTGGAGGATCAAACAGGATTCATTAAAGAAGCACTGATCACTGATGAATCCTGATTCTTTCAGCGCTTCGATTAAAATGTGACCGGCTTTAAATAAATCAGTGCCCACTCACCCTTCCTCTGACATGCCCATGATCTGTCTGAAGAGTGCAGAAACACTTCTAAACTGATACATGTAGATGGTTATTAACACCACCATGGAGTAACCCACCACCACCGCCCAGAACGTCTTCAGAACCCGACGCCAAATATCGTACCGGATCTGAGGGTGGAGAAAGCAAAGAGAAATGCACAGGATGCTGATGTTTTCTGCAGCTCGTACTGGCTGTAACATCCCCCACCTGCAACATTTAATCCAACAGTTTGGTGCACGCAGGTCATGAGTTTGACTTCCTGAAATAAAATCTCATGAAAATAGCTAAATTACATTCCCAGCATCATAAATGTCAGTGTTGCCTGTTTTCCCCTCATCCATGTGGTATGTAAAACACCAGGGTGTTGTTGATGTCCAAGTAGACACGTAATGTTGTCTCATGTAGTCTCCGCAGCCATTAGGCCTCCACTAAGTGCCTTCTGTCTCTCTAAAACGTCAGCAGAAACATAATGGGTGGAAGAAAAACTAGTGAAACTGTGGCAAAAAAAATGCTGTTTATGAGCTTATTAGTCATAATCAATGCTTTTAGCTGAAAAATAGCATCAGTGAACAAAGCAGCCCTTGTTTATGTGCGCTCTTCTTGATTCTGATTGTTTCTGCACCCATGAACACATTTATTGTGAAACATAATGAAGCTGAAGGTATCACTAAATATGTTGGAGATTTGAAGGCTTAAAGAGTGTTTTCTCTGCTTCTAAAACAGGAAAATCAAAGTGAAGTAAAAGCTGCCTGACTGGTAGCAGACCAATAAAAATGTTGTTACGATTCCTTTAATCCATTTAGGCTGTTTAATTTCCGGGTTTCACTCCCACTTTAAAGCAGGAGCTAAAATTAACTGTAATAAAGCAGTTATATGAGTCACAGGCAAGAAAAGCTTTCCAATGAATCAGTAATTTTAAAAAGTCTCAATCCAAGATGGGCCTCAGCTTTGGTGCTGACTGAACATTTACTCCTGAAGGCAATAACATAATCTGAGATTAGCATGCTAACAATGACTAAAACCTATGTTTTTTTAGCTTTAGACATTAGTTAAAACAAGCAAAATTGTAGCTAGAAGGAAAATTGATAAAAGCTAAAAGTAGCAAAAAGCTAGCTAAAAGAATCTAAATAATAGCTATAAAACAATAGTAAGAGGCAAGATGAAAGCTAAAATTAGCTTAAAACAAAAACCAGCTAAAACTTAGTTAAAATTAGCAAAAGTTAGCTAAAAACTATAGCACACAAAAACAAAAACAGATTAAGTATGATGAAGCACATTTTAAAGAAAACAAAAAGGATCTCAGTGTATTTCTATGGGGAGAACGTTTAATTTAATCTTTTGTGAAGTTTAAAAGTTACGAGAAAAAAAAATCAAAACTTAGCAGCCATCTTCAGAATGAGTTGAAAGTTTTGATAAATAGCTAAAATAAGACAATGTATGCAGACATAGTTGGATTGCAAAAATTGTATGGAAAAACAAATGATAAAACTGGAAAACAATAGTGTGACTGCATTAGTGTAGAATATTGTATATATATAAATATGATCTATTATAAGTCTGAAACTAGACAAAGTTTTAAGAGCTGAAATCTACTTACTCACAAAACAAAACAAAGCATCAAATTTACTAACCTGGTACAGAACAACACACAGGAGGAAAAGAACGATGTAGAGGATTTTGTAGACGACCACCTGATTAAATGAAAGATCAGTCAGCTATTATTCTGTTTAAATAGAGACTCATTATTTATTTTATGCGTTAAACATATTAGTTTTTTCAAAGGTCTATACCAGGGGTCTGCAACCTTTACAATTAAAAGAGCCATTTCTGCTCCTTGTCTCACTAATAAAATGTGTCCAGAGCCACAAAACAAGCTACAACTGTGATTATCAACTGGTGGTCCATGGGCCTTTTTGAGACCTTTTTGGGAACCTTTACGGCCAGTGGAGGTGACATAAAAAATGTACTGTGAATGTTATTATTTGCTATTATTTTTACACATCAGAACAAATGAAAAGACCAGATTTACGTAAACACGAAAAATATATATATATT